TTAATTTTTAAATTTAATTGTAATTAAATAAAATAAAATAATTTAAAATTAATATTTCAATTTATTTTAAGAGTCACCCCACTAAAAAATCCCATATATTTACACTTTTTCAATATGCCTATTTTGTCTCCCCACTAAAAAATACCAGATATTTACGGTTAAAACCAACTTTGAGCCCTTCACCTTACAAAATTAGTAGGTTTTAACTCCTAATCTTATAATATGACATTTTTAGCCCTTTACATTATAAAATTGGTAAGTTTTAATCCTTCACCTTATATTATGACACTTTTAATCCCTTGTATGTATGAATTGAAAAAAATAGTCCTCATTTAATATCATGTTATAATATTATGTTAGTTCTATCAGTTGACTATAAATTCTGTTAACTGACTGTAAATTCTGTTAAGTGACTATTAATTCTGTTAACTGAATGTTAACATCCATTAGCATTCCATTATTGGAACTAACACGTAAAATTGAATTTAAATTTAATGTTTTCTATAATGGAATGCTAACGGATATTAACAGTCAATTAACAAAATTAATAGAATGTTATAATCTAATGTTAGGTGAAAATTATTTTTTTCAATTCGTATATGTAAGGGGCTAAAAATGTCGTAATATAAGATGAGAGGTTAAAATCTACCAACTTTGTAAGGTAAAAGATTAAAAGTGTCATATTATAAGCTGAGGAACTAAAACTTATCAATTTTATAAGATAAGGGGCTAAATATTGTTTTTGCCAATATTTGCAGCTAGCGCTTCACAAAATCCCTTCAAATAAACCTATTTAATTGGTAAGCCTTTCCTGTTCCTGTATTTGTTTATATACAGCAGCAGTCTCGCAGATGTAGACTTGTACAGAAGAAAGCAAAGTTTTGAAGGGTCTCTTTCTCCATGGCTTTGCTTAATTCTGTGAATCTTCTGTTTCTTTCCTCCATTTTTGTAAGCTTTTATGGAGTATTGAGTACCAGTGGCAATAACAGGGTGCTCAGCCCCGCCGTGTTGGCTCGGCAAAAAGCAGACCAAGTCACCCATCTTCCAGGGCAGCCGTCGGTGAAGTTCAAGCACTATGCAGGGTACGTTACTGTCAATGAAACTCATGGAAGAGCATTGTTCTATTGGTTCTTTGAGGCCACCCATAAGCCCGAAGAGCAGCCTGTCCTCCTATGGCTCAATGGAGGTAACAAAGAACTTCTTTTCAGAATTCACTCTCTAAGAACTTAGAATTGTCATAGAGATCTCGGGTACCAGCATGAGATATCTTTTCTGATTCTTTGATTATAATATTGATAAATTATAATAGGAATAGTTCTCCTCATTCCAGAGCCCGTCCTGCCTATTTAGAATTTGAATACCCTTCACAAAATGGTTTGAAATTTCAACTTGAGATCTAGCAGTGCGTCTCGTCTCAATCTTACCATTTGCTTCATTGACATTTCTTTTTAGTTGTTGGGCTGTTCAGGTTATGGTCTTTTTAGGTTTATGTTTGGTAAAATCATGGTGGGGTCATGGGTTTCTTTTATTTTCTGCATTTTCACCATTTTTTTATATCATCCTATACATATTTCATATATTTATGGCTGGAATTGTAATCTAGTAATGTTTGTGAATTCGTTTTGTCAGTTCTTCTGTTTGGGAAGAAATTTTGTATTCGTTTTATTCATGTTTTGTTGTTGTTATTGTTATTATTATTATTATTCTTATTATTATTATTATTATTATTAACTTATTTAAATAAAAATTTTCCCCCAAATTTCAAATTTTTTTAACCTTTTTCTCAAAGGAAGAAAATAGTTGTCAACAAATTACCTATTTTATATCTTAATACCATTTGCGATTATATAAATTAAATCTTTAGAAATTAAATATAAATAATTAAAACAGATTCTAGAATGAAAGGTACAGGTAACGTGAACCCATACAAAAAAACAAAATATTGTTCATAATGAAACCAAAGAAAATATATGTTGGTCTAACTTCCCT